AGGATCGCCCGTCCCATGTTACCTCAGGAGGGGGGAGGAGACGGGCACGGGATGGAGAGGGAGGAGAAGGAAAGGGGAAGGGCAGGTGTGCTTGAAGCGTGCGGAGGAGAGGTGGTGCGCTGGGCAGGTGGTAGGTGGGTCGGAAAGGCGCCAGACGGAGGGGCGGGCGGCCAGGCCAGGGTCAGTAGCCTTCAGCGTCCCCGCCAGGAACAGCCCTCCACACCCAACATCCCGCCGCCCCCTCACACACACACACACACACCACTCACTCACTCGGGTTTACCTAATACTTGAACTTCATTAGATTGTAAGCGAAAATTTCTTGAATTTTAAGAAAAAGTGATAGAAAGAGAGAGAGAGAGAGAGAGAGAGAGAGAGAGAGAGAGAGAGAGAGAGGACAAGGACAGGTGGCACGAGACAAAGCCGACCACGGCAGGTGTCAGGCGAGTCAACAGAGCATAGAGGATATACTGCCATCACTACCACCACTCTACCACCACTCTACCACCACTCTACCACCACCACTACCACCACTCTACCAACACTACCACCACCACTACCACTACCACCACCACACTGTCATCACTGCCACCACCACTACCACCACCACTTCCAACACCACCACCACCACCACCACTACCACCATCATCACTACCACCATTACCACTACCCTCTACCATCACTAGCACTACAAACATCATCACCACTAATTATTTCACCACCACCATCACCCACCATTAGTTCTATAACTTATGGTGGGTGATGGTGGTGGTGGTGTGGTAACAAATAATGTAATTGAAATACTGTGTAACATTCAGTGCCATAATATCCTGACAACGGGGGTTAATTATTATGACCCGTTGTAAACTCTACTCCGTAATCCTTTTGCGCTACCGCTCACAGGATGAGTGTGGGGTGCACAATAAAGTAGCCGCTGTAAGCGGCAAAATAAAAAAAAATCACTCACCATTACTACCACTACCACCACCACTACCACCACTCTAATACCACTACCACCACCAATAAGAACACTACCACCACCACTACCACCACTCTACTACCACTACCACCACCAATAACAACACTACCACCACCAATAACAACACTACCACCACCACTACCACCAATTAATAACAACATCTACTTGACCAATTAACAACACTACCACCACCACTACCACCACTCTACCACCACTCACCACCACCAATAACAACACCACCATCACTAATTACCACACCGACCTACTACCATCACCACCAATTAATAACAACACTACCAATTAATTCAATTACCAATTAATTTACCACCAATTACCACCAATTCAATAACAAATTCACCACCACCACTACCACCAACACCAATAACAACACCACCACCAATTAATTACCACACCACCTACTACCACTACCACCACCAATAACAACACTACCACCACCACTACCACCACTCTACTACCACTACCACCACTACCACCACTCTACTACCACCACAACACTACCAACAATTACCACCAATTACCTATCACTTCACTACCACCACCATTACCAATTAATTTACTACCACTACCACCACCAATAACAACACTACCATCATCACTGCCAACATCACCAGTACCACAACTACCACTACTAACTCTGCTACCAATACCACTATTACTACTACCACTATCACTGTTGCTACGGGTTGCTATCACAGTGCTACCTTCATAGTTACCACCACCACAACTGCTACTATTATCGCCTCAACTACTACTACTACAACTACTACAGCTAGTACTACCATCACCACTGCTAAACATCTCGGCCCCAGCTACTTACTACTACTAACAACATTATAATCACAACCACACAGCTACCACTACCACCACTACTACTATCACCACTAATAAATGGTTGCCTCTCGTGTAACGAAGGTGGCCGATCTAGGCTAGGCGTGAATTTGTTTAAAGTGTAGAAGCTCTCCCCAACACAACAACCACACCCTAAGTTAACGAGTTGCATGACCCAGTGTCAAGGAATAGCCCGAGAAGACCAGACAACTCGCCAACTGCACTGGCTAACCATTACCCCGGAACGAGCCGCAAATCGATTAACATCCAGGTCTCCAATTACTGCTGCGGTCTTTGTCAGGTCGGGGTTATGCACACATTACTATACCCAGTCACCCGCTGTGCCTCCTTTAGGATATCCCTCCTGTGCTCGTGTTGAGGTATGGTGAGTCTTACTGTCTGTCTCTCCTTCCTTCCTTATTGAATTCTGTATAAGGAGTTTATCCCTGCGTTTTTTTATCTCTGCTTATTCACGCACCTCATCCCGAAGGTTTTGTGTTACGTTAGCTACCCTGATTATCACTGTATGGGTCTGGTTCACTGCTGGTGGTGATGTTTCCTGTAAGTTGTTTAGTCCATCCTCATCCTGCAGTGAATTCTGGAGCTCTGTTGCTTAAATTTGTCTTGTTCTTTATCAAAACTAAAACACAACTTTGTTCCTTCAGTAAGGTGTTCAGGGTTCAGTACAGTGAAACCTCTTTTTAACCGGCTGTAACCTCCTAATACTACAAAAACACAAATTAACTAATGGAGGAGCTACAGTAGATTCACTTGAAACAACACAAAATACATTACGAAAACCTCTTTTGTTAGCAGTTTCCGTTGTCGACAATAAACGAATCTTTACCTAAAATAAAATACACTAAAGCAAAATAATTGCTATATCATAAATCCATAATAAAAAGTAAAGAAGTCCTCCAATTTAATTCCGTTTTCTTTTACTGCAACAGAGAAAACGGACGTCAACAAACAGTTTCAGGAATGAGTTTAAATGCTGGACTTGAATGAGTTTAAAGGTGTTACCGTAGTATTAAAGAGGCCAAGAGTGATGGACATGCAGGGGTAAGTACACCAGAACAGAAGAGAGACCCCCCCCCTGCATCTACCGTGAGTATTAAGTGTAAGTCAAGTACAACAGTGAAAGTGATGTTGAGTTGTGTGAAGCTGAGGTAGTTCCTGCCACCTAATGTACAGCCCAGTCAGTGGAATCGTGTATAAAATTCGTTGGTGTTGTCCAAAGAGTTAAAACTAAGAGTGGCTCCAAGTGATGAAGTGAACAGGCATTATTATACTGCATCTTGACTTACCTATCTTCCTAACATGCATGAGAGTCAACCACGGAAGTTCATATTTATACACTAAATTAACCAAACTGATTGGATTTTCCGTTAAATATATCTGGATAATCCATTTTTTACTCGGAGCTTGATTAATACAGTAATTTGGAGAAGGAAACTTTCATTTATCTTTGAGATGTATATTACACATTTATCATAATACTGTATGAATAGTATTCGGGTAATGGTAATGATGGTGATTCGTTTATTTGAGAGGGATGATTTTTATTTCATTTTGGTTACTCGTGTGTAAGTAAAGTGAGATAAAACAGATTAAAGAAAAAAATAAGTAACAGACAGTGGAGAGTAATTAACAGGGAGAATAGATAATACAAAATGTGTCCGAGAGTGAGACAGTGAGAGCGAGACAGTGATACTTCGATGGTTGGGGCTATTAATGATACTCTCTCTCTCTCTCTCAGAGGTAAGCCACTAGGGCGCAAAAGCAAGGTGCAGGTGTTTACATGACACGTTAGTGAGAAAATCAATGAACTGAGGTCAACCATTACACTCTCCCCATGAGCCTGACCACGAGTGCTGACCTCTCCTCCACTCTTGTTTGTGGGGTACTGACCTCTAGTTCACCATTGTTTGTGGGGTGCTGACCTCTTCTTCACCCTTGTTTGTGGGGGTACTAACCTCTCCTTCACCCTTATGTATCCATCACCTCTGTCTACCTCTCTAACCTCCCCTCCCAACTCGCAACATGTACAGCACCTGTAAGCTAATTATCTTTACCTCAGTGCTAAAACAAGTTTCCTCTAAGAGAATCACTCCGGCTCACACGTCTCGCTTTACTATAATAAAAACAAAATATCATGTATCACAACCCAGTGTCTCGCCCAAGCTTACCCCAAAAGCTGGACAACAGTGTTATCTGCTATGGCTAGCTTTAAGTTGGGTAGACTTCATGAAATACTCGTTAGGTGTTCCCAAATACTCATTCATATGAGTTAGTGTATGGCCATGATGTGAGGGGGGCCTCTCAGTATGTTAAAAGGAAAAAGGCTTGGAAATGAGAACAGCTTACCTGCTATACAACAAGTGAATTAATGATACACAACAGTTTCTGGAGACTTGAAGCTCCTGAGCCGTCCCCTGTAACTGGGAATTGATTTAAGACTTACAGGCACCCTGTTTAGAGGAACCACTTAAACTACTCTACTGTACCGGAACTTTATCAATGGGTAGTCGGCTACACTCATTGGTTGGGGAATGTTTCAGGATGGGTTGATACTACCTCGCCTCTCCTTATATTACATGGTTCCTCTCACGCCACAAAGCACGTAGACCAGGTCCTTGGGTGACGTTCACGGGGTCACGTTGTGTGATATGAATCTCGTATAGATCTGAGCTGTGTGGTGTATCACCCACCACCTGTTCCACCCACGGCCAAGCCAGCCACCACCGCCTCGCTCACCACCAACACTGAATCTTACACAAGGATGATCAGGAACTCGTGAACCCGGCGAGAAACGGTGCGCCCACGTGATAATGCTGAGTAGTAGACAGCTGAATGTAAGCACCGTTCCATACTCACAAAATTTCCTAACTTGTAGACGTTTATAGTAAGTTTTCGTTACAGTGGTCAAGGATCTGCCTGGAGGGTGTTGTTGTCTCCAGCAGCCGTGACGTCACAAGAATCCTCTTCCTGATATTTTTTTCCACTCATCGAAAATTGAGTACATACTGTCTGTCTATCTGTCTACTTGTCTATCTGGAACATAACCTTCTGTCTGTTCATCAACCATGATCCATATCAGTCAAATTAAATATAAAAGGTGAACTAAATACCACACTTGCAAAGGTCACAAAGCTTCTATTGTCCGTGTCAGCGGTACAGCGAGTGTATGTGCCGCACACACTCACTATACGGTGTAACTGACGGGTCCCCACCCCTCCTGCCTCGCTCTTCGGTGAGTGCTTCTCTCGCTGGCACTTGTCCGCCTTGATGATACCTGTAGTATATACCATAATACGACAGTGAGAGATTAGCAAACCAATGCCCTTTTTGTGTTTTATTTAACTACGTTTTACGGGGTTTTTTTAAGTGGAAATATTTATCAAATAAATTAAATTCCTTCGAGGGAATTAATACAATTGTGCTATTTCTCACAGAGTCTGGGTGAACTTACCAAGAAAAATATGTGGTGGTGCGTGTTGGTGGTGGTGGTGGTGGTTTTGGAGGGGAGTTCTGGCCAGCACTTGGAGGAACAACATCACCCTGAAGAACACAACTCAAAAGCTTGTCTAGAGTCTTGTTCCTCCCTTCATCTGACACAATCCTTGTCGACGACCTCACGCCTTGAAACTGTGGCCAACTCTCCAAATGTAACAAAACACAGACGTACACGAAGTGTTTACCCCACGTCCGTGTCTCCTCGGGAAGGTAACACCACTTATGAGCAATATGCACACGAAGACAGACCTCATCATGCTGGAGCAGACTTGAAGTTTCCTCAAGAACAACAGTCTGTGAGTGTGGCAACAAGTGTGACGGGTAACACTGAGAGCCAAGAGAACCTGTCGAAACAGATTCTTCTGTCTCTAACGTTAAACATCCCAAGCGACAAAATTCCTGTTATCCTTCACGACTCAGAAGCTCAGAGCGTTAATGTTCTTGATCACTTCCTCAGGGCGAGTCTCGGCCTTTCTGCCGTGATAATCAACATCTCTGGCGGTGTTCTGCCGATCGTTGAGTGGCTGGACGAGTACAATGATGGCTACTTCGTTCATATTATTATTTTTAGTTCTGTGAGCGTTGTGGAATCTTTTGTTGAAGGTCTCCCAGAGTTAGTCTGGACCCCGGATCACCTTCTGTTAATAAACGTCGACGAATCTGTCAACGCTACACACCTGCTGGCTCAGGAAAAGTTCAGTCACAGTCTTTACCTCTCGCTGTTGCAGCCTCACAACAGGATGGGCGCAGGTCACTACCTCATCCTCACTTTGGAAACTTTCCGTCCTCTGAATAAAATAACTTCACACGGCATCTACAGTGTCACCAAACCACGAGCATTTAGTGAGGTCTTCCCTGATCGCTTCCAGAGTTTCTATGGTTACAAAATCCAGTTAGCCAGTTGGCCTGATGACTTTCCTTACTTGATACCCGGACCAACGCTGGAGAAAACCTATGGGATGTGCGTCAACATGCTCAACGAGATCTCAGCAAAATTAAACTTTAGTTACGTGTTTGACAGCGAGGCAGAGGCGTCTTGGGGTGAGCTGGTTAACGGGTCGTGGATTGGTATGGTCGGTCAGGTCTCCAGGAAGGAAAAGTAAGTACAGTATAATTTCGTGCCAGACAAAAAATACCGATTAATTCCCTTCTCTATTCACTTGTCTTACAGGACGTAAATTATATTGTAAGAAAATTTGTCTCAAAGTTTTATAAGATCTATATCATGATGCTCTCGTCTCGGGTGGGAGAGACGAGGATAGTGAAGGTGAGTAACGGGGTATGAGTGACAAGGGTAGTGAGTGACGGGATAGTGAGTGACGGGGTAGTGATTGACAGGGGTAGTGAGTGACGAGGGTGGTGGAGTAACGGGTAAAGAGGACGGGATAGTGAGTGACATGGATAACGTGAGTAACGGTAACGGGGTGAGTGAGTAATGGGAGAGGGAGGGAGAGTGACGGGGTAGTGAGGACGAGGGTAGTGAGTAACGGGGGTAGTGAGGACAGGGACAGAAGTGACAGGCAGGGAGACGAGGGTGGTGCGTAACGGGGTAGTGGGAGACACGGGTAGTAGTAGAGTGACAGGGGTAGTGAGGATGGGGTATGAGTGACGAGGGTAGTGAGTGACGGGGTAGTGAGTGACAGGGGTTGTAAGTGACGGGATAGTGAGTGACAGGGGTAATGAGTGATGGGGTAGTGAGTGACGGGGGTAGTGAGTGACGGGGGTAGTGAGTGACGAGGGTAGTGAGTGACGAGGGTAGTGAGTATTGTAACGGGGGTAGTGAGTGACAGGGGTAGTGAGTAACGGGGGTAGTGAGTGACAGGGGTAGTGAGTGACGAGGGTAGTGAGTGACGAGGGTAGTGAGTGACAAGGGCACTGTGGTGTTACAGAGACATGAGTGTGAACGTCATCGCTGTTGACAAGGACCGCTACACCGCCGTGGACTTAAGTGTGATCTACATGACCGACTCCTTCAGCTTCGTACTCCGTATTCCCACGCCGCCGCCCCGCTGGTGGTCCATCGTCTTTCCTTTCACGTAAGTACCGCCGCGGCAGCCCCTCTAGCAGGCCAAGACAGCTACAATAGGGCCTTCTTCTACCTCCAGCCCCTCTCCTCTTTACACAATATTACAAAAAATATCTAATTACATTGGGATTCCTTTACCAGTTACATAATAATCACTTGATTCTTTTCGCCTTAAGTATACTGTCTTGTACAAACACGACACAGGTAGCACAACTCTCTCTCTCTCTCTCTCTCTCTCTCTCTCTCTCAGCTGTCAGCATAAAAGTCACGTGTACATGTGTCTCTCACAGGTGGCAGACGTGGGTGGCCGTGTTCGCCTTTCTGGTGGTGATATCAGCCCAACTCTCCCTCTTCTACAAGGTCAGCCCAAGACAGTGGCCGGTGAGGATCACTGTATAGTTGACACTCTTGCCTTGATTGACTTAGATGGTGAGAGTGCCTGGTGGGCCAGCATGTTATCACCATTTTTAAGTAGACCTTAGTCATAATTTTGCTACTTTCCTTTCATTAGGTCACTGTGTTTATTGTTACGTAAAGGTGTATCAGAATCACACCGAAGAATAATTATCGACGGAGTCAAGATAACAAACGTATAAAAACCGGCAAATGATCATCCAGGAACGTGTTGAAGATAAATAAGAGAAATAGTCAGAGTTAACCATCAACAGAAACGTTTAAAATTACTTATGGTAATGGGTGGTGTTGCAGGTGAGGGGAGTGGCGAGGAGCAGCAGCGAGGCGGTGTTGGTAATAATGAGGACTCTTCTTCGTCAAGATGTTCCTAATCCTCCCTCACACGTCTCCATCAGGTACTGTTGTCTTGTTCTCTCGTTGGTCAGGTACAAAGCATTTACACCTTACCCTGTGAACAGAACATAACAATAAGAATAATAAATAAAATTCACAGGTTTTTGTCAATATTAATAGTCTTTTTAAAGCAGAGCAGAAATTATTCAGATACAGATATTAGCCTGAGAGAGAGAGAGAGAGAGAGAGAGAGAGAGAGAGAGAGAGAGAGAGAGAGAGAGTGTGTGTGTGTGTGTGTGTGTGTGTGTCCATTACTCTAAGTTTAAGTTCACTACAAGGTCAAGTCAGGATTTTTTTATATATACTCTGCATCATGACGTCAAGGTGTGTGTGTCTGTGTGTCTCCTCCAGGGTGATCCAAGGCGCGTGGATGATTGTGGCCATGATATTGTCCATCTCATACACTGGGAACCTCGTCGCCTATATCACTGTCCCTGAGAAGCCCATCAGACTCACCTCCCTCAAGCAACTGGCCGAGTCCTCCTTAACGTGAGTATGAGAATCGTGAGTCCTTCTTGGATGTGAGTAACAGACCACGTTCATCGCTGAGTGTGTGTGTGTGGTGTGTGTGTGTGTGTGTGTGTGTGTGTGTGTGTGTGCAAACTCCACAACTCAGCCTGACTTCATGACTAACCTGTCTCTTCTCTGCTGGGTCTGGAGGCCGACGATGGTTGACTACGGTAACTTCGTGCCCGGGGCTCTGCGAGCCTCCAAACACCCGACGCTTCACGTCCTCGGCCAGAAGCTGCAGCTTATACCTGACTACGGCTACGACGTGGGCTTCGCACAGGTAAGTTACAAGCAAATAGATAGACTTTATGGGTGATATTTACAGAGCTGAAATTATACAAGAGATCTTCATGCCCGAATAGAATTTATATACTAATCTCCCCAATTTTGTCAGCAGCTGTGTGATGGTGGTCCGGTGTCAGACCTTTTGTCTTAATTAACAGCACTGAAGTCCTCCCGCAGCATCATACATCAACTAGTCGATTGTGACTATCATGCATCTCTCCCTCTCTCTTTCCAGGTCATGGATGGAACTCACGCCTTCCTGGAGGGGACGGAGTTCTTCAACTATATGGTGATTCTCTACCACATGTCCACCACCACCTACTTCCTGCCGGAGGTCATCTACTCTACCAATGTTGCCTGGATATACCCCAAAAAGACCCCCTGGAAACATAAACTAGACCCTTACCTGCAGGCCTTTGTAGAGTCTGGGCTCTGTCTCTACTGGAAGAAGGTAGTCTTCTTTGGTAAAGGAGAAAGGAAAAGTAAAGCAAAGACGTGTTTCGTTGAAGTGCAGTGATGCTTAGTTGATAACACTTAACTGTTAAGGTGTATCAAGTAACACCCCTGACTACAGACAAGCACTCTCCTCTTTACTTCTTACACAGGATATCTGACACGATGATCATTTGTTATTGTTTGTGGGTTTGTGTGTAACGGGTGTAGATTGTTTGTGTGTGTGTGTGTGTGGTGCGTGCGTGTGTGTGGGTGTGTGTGTGTGTGTGTGTGTATGTGTATGTGTGTGTGTGTGTGTGTGTGTGTGTGTGTGTGTGTGTGTGTGCTTGTGTGTGTGTATGTGTATGTGGGCGGGGGGGCTGTGATGGAGGGGTGTTGTGTGTGGGGGCGCATAGGCCCACTGGCATGTGAACACGTCCTGGCGACTACCAACCATTGCCTCGCTACCTTGCAGATTAACCCAACGACTACACCGGCGGCAGGCGAAGGCGATGCCTGATGGACAGGATACTAAGGCAAAACCCAACAAACTGGGCTATCGGCAGTCCATTGCGACTCTCCCTCTGCCCAGTCATTGCAACACTTGCACCACTGAATCAGGAAAAGGGAGACCCAAGATGTGTGGTTGCAGCCTGCGCTCCTGCCTCACCACATAAATCAATTCACGTGAAGCCACCATACAGCTCATCATACCTCGCATCATCATCGAAACCCCTATACCCCCAAAAGTCCTATGGCGACGGACGAGTGGCGACGGGGACAGGCAGAGATGACTGCCCGGAGTCTCTAGTCACAACTCTGCACATGAGCGGCACAGATAATATAGTCGTTTATGCACTGAGATCTAGGCAGCAGTCACACACACTAACACCACCGCCACACACATTGACACCACCGCCACACACACTGACACCACCATCACACACACACACACACACACACACACACACACACACACACACACACACACACACACACACACACACACACTCACCCGAGATCCCTCGTCCGAGCATTGCTGTTCGACACCACAACCGCATCCAGCCCATACGAGCATGAACTGATTGCTATAAGAATAGCACAGCCCCAACCATTGTAAAAATTATCAATAACTTGTAATCAACCAGTGTATTCACTCCCAGTCAATCTTACTTTTTGCACTGTCACTATGTTGAAATGCCCTGTAGTTTGAGCTTCTCCCCACCTAGTTATTATATATCATAATTGTATCACATATGTTACTTACATATTATTTGCAAATCAAGAGACCCATTCCCCAATTATGTAACTGTATATTTTCAGCCTTCCGGCTGCCAAGCTCTTTCAATAAACCGTTAATTATTATTATTATTATTACACACACACACAAACACACACACACTCACACACTGACACCACCGCCACACACACTGACACCACCGCCACACACACCTCCACACCCCACCCTCACCCTCCACATCCCACCCTTGACCTCCACACTCCATCCTCGCCCTCCACATCATACCCTTGCCCTCCATACTCCATCCTCGACCACACCCCACTCACCTCCACATCCATCCCTTGACCTCCCATCCTCACCCTCCACATCCCACCCTTGACCTCCATACTTCATCCCGCCTCCACATCCCACTCCATACTCCATCCTCGACCTCCACACCCCACCTCACCCTCCACATCCATCCCTTGACCTCCATACTTCATCCTCACCCTCCACATCCCACCCTTGACCTCCACCCACTTCACTCACCTCCACATCCCACCCTGCCCTCCACACCTCCACCCTCTCCACATCCCACCCTTGACCTCCACACTCCATCCCTCGCCCTCCACATCCCACCCTTGCCCTCCACACTCCACCCTCGCCCTCCACATCACACCCCCAGGGGCCCTCCCAAGTGCGGCGATGCCCTCGGGGGCTTTCCCAGGGGCGGTGGCGCCTCCAGAGAGCCTCCCAGGGGCGGTGGCGACCTCAGGGACACTCCAAGGGACGTTGGCGCATCCAGGGGCCTTCTCAGATGGCGGTAGCTCCGACAGGGGCCTTAATAGGGGCACCGGCGTCCAGAGGTCCTTCCCAGGGATGGTGTTGCCGCTTCAGGCTTTCCCAGCGGCGGTAGCGCCCTCGGGGTTCTCTCCAGGGCAGGTGGTGCACTCAGGGGCAGTGGCACCCCAATGGCCCTCCCGAATGCGGAGGTTGCCCCCAGGGGACCTCCCAAGGGCCGGTGGCGCACCTAGGGGCCCTCCCAAGAGCGGCGGCGCCGCCAGGGGTTATCACAGTGGCGGCGACCAACCCAGGAGCTCTCCCAGGGACGACGGCGACCCCCATGGGCCCTCCCGGGGGCGGTGGTGCCCCCGGGGGCCTTCCCAGGGACGACGGCGCCCCCTGGAACCGTATAGCTTGGTGGACTAAAATGTAAATCCACCAATAGGAGAACAGAGCAGTCAGTCAGCACAACACCCCAACTTATCATTTCCTGTTGGATATTTATTCTCCTTTTAATTTTTCAGGGTGAGATCATACTGGAAATGCGATGGGGAGTGTACTTATTTAACGTCATATCTCCCAGAGTTGTAAATAGTGCAAAAACTACTGCCTCCAGTGGCCCTCCTTTGGTGCAGGAGCACTCCCAGGTGCCCTCTCAGCGGCGGCGGCACCCCTACGGGGCCCTCCCATAGGCAGCAGCGACATCAGGGGCCCTGCCATGGACCATTGAGCCCCCAGGGGCCATGCAAGGGGCTGTGGAGCCCTTAGTGCCTTTTCAAAGATGGTGGCGCCCTTAGTGCCTTTTCAAAGGTGGTGGCGCCCTCAAGGGCTCTCCCAGGGACCCTTCCAGGGGGTCGTTGCTCCCAGGAGCCCTTCCAAAGGTGGTGGTGCCCCCAGGGGCCTTCCCAGAGACGGTGGCGCTCCCGGAGACCCTACCAGGAGCGGCGGAGCCCCCAAGGACCATCTCTGATGCGGAGGCGCCCCTAGGTATCCCCACAGAGGTGGCGGTGTCGATATGGGGCACTCCCAAGGGCGGCGGCGCCCCCAGGGGTAATTCTTAGGGGTGGCGGCAACCATAGGGGTCCTGCCATGGGCGGTGGAGCCCCCAGGGGCCCTGCAAGGGGCTGTGGCGTTCCGAGGGGCATTTCCAGGGACGATGGCACCCCCAGGGGCCCTGCCAGGGGCGCCCCCTTCCTGGAGCCCTATAGCTTGCTTAGTCGTAGTGTCGTATATATTGCATACATCCAGCAATCCCATACTTACCCGCAATTGGTGGACTAAAATGGAAATCCACCAATAGGAGAACAGAGCAGTCAGTCAGCACAACACCCCAACTTATGATTTCCTGTTGGATATTGATTCTCCCTTTAATTTTTCACGAAAGATCATACTGGAAATGCGATGGGGAGTGTACTTATTTAACGTCATATCTCCCAGAGTTCTAAATAGTGCAAGAAGTACTGCCACCAGTGGCCCTCCTTTGGGGCGGGAGCACTTCCAGGTGCCCTCTCAGTGGCGGCTGCCCCCGGGGCCCATTTAAGGGAGGCGGGGGACCTGTCAGCGGCGGTGGCAACCCCACGGGGCCCTCCCAGAGGCATCGGCGACCTCAGGAGCCCTGCCAGGAACGGTGGAGCCCCCAGGGGCCCTGCCAGGAACGGTGGAGCCCCGACGGGCCCTGCCAGGAATGGTGGAGCCCCCAGGGGCCCTGCAAGGGGCTGTGGCGCCCTTAGTGCCTTTTCAAATGTGTTGGTGCCCTCAAGGGCTCTCCCAGGGTCGGTGGCACCCCCAGCGACCCTTCCAAGGGGGGGGGGGCGTTGCTCCCAGGAGCCCTTCCAAAGATGGTGGTGCCCTCAGGGGCCTTCCCAGGGACGGTGGTGCTCCCGGAGACCCTACCAGGAGCGGCGGAGCCCCCAGGGTCCATCTCAGATGCGGAGGCGCCCCTTGGTGTCCTTACAAAGGTGGCGATGCCCCTATGGGGCCCTCCCAATTGCGGCAGCGCCCCCAGGGGCAATTCCTAGGGGTGGCGGCAACCCCAGGGTTCCTGCCAGGGACAGTGGAGCCTCCAGGGGCCATGCAAGGGGCTGTGGCGTCCTGAGGGGCCTTTCCATGGGCGACGGCACCCCCAGGGGCCCTGCCAGAGGCGCCCCTTCCCTGGAGCCCTATAGCTTGCTTAGTCGTGGTGTCGTACATAGTTCATACGTCCAGCAATCCCTTATTTACCTGTGATTGGTGGACTAAAATGTAAATCCACCAATAGGAGAACAGAACCGCCAGTCAGCACAACACCCCAACTTATGATTTCCTGTTGGATATTTATTCTCCTTTTAATTTTTCACGATGAGATCATACTGGAAATGCAATGGGGAGTGTACTTATTTAACGTCACATCTCCCAGAGTTCTAAATAGTGAAAAACTACTGCCACCAGCGGCGGCTGCACCCGGGGCCCATCCAGGGGGTGGAGGGGGCGGGCGGGGGGCCTGTCTGTGGCGACGGCACCCCTACGGGGCCCTCCCAAAGGCATTGGTGACCTCAGGGGCCCTGCCAGGAACGATGGAGCCAGCAAGGGCCCTGCAAGGGGCTGTGGCGCCCTTAGTGCCTTTTCAAATGTGTTGGCGCCCTCAAGGGCTCTCCCAGGGTCGGCGGCACCCCCAGCAACCTTCCAAGGAGGGGGGGGGACGTTGCTTCCAGGAGCCCTTCCAAAGGTGGTGGTGCCCCCAGGGGTCTTCCCAGAGACTGTGGCGCTCCTGGAGACCCTACCAGGAGCGGCGAAGCCCTCAGGGTCCATCTCAGATGCGGAGACGCCCCTAGGTATCCTCACAGAGGTGGCGGTGCCCCTGTGGGGCCCTTCCACCTGCGGCGACGCCCCCAGGGGCAATTCTTAGAAGTGGCGGCATCCCCAGGGGTCCTGCCAGGGGCGGTGGAGCCCCCAGGGTCTCTGCACGGGGCTGTGAAGGCGTCCCGAGGGGCCTTTCCATGGACGACGGCACCCCAGGGGCCCTGCCAGAGGTGTCCCTTCCCTGGAGCCCTATAGCTTGCTTAGTCGTGGTGTCGTACATATTGCATACGTCCAGCAATTCCTTACTTACCTGTGATTGGTGGACTAAAATGAAAATCCACCAATAGGAAAACAGAGTAGTCAGTCAGCACAACAACCCAACTTATGATTTCCTGTTGGATATTTATTCTCCTTTTAATTTTTCACGATGAGATCATACTGGAAATGCGATGGGGAGTGTACTTGTTCAACGTCATATCTCCCAGAGTTCTAAATAGTGCAAAAACTACTGCCCCCCAGGGAAACTCCCATAGGCGACGGCGCACCCAGGGACCCTACCAGGGTCGTCGGTCCCATGGACCTACCCGGCTTAGGGGCCTCATACCATGGCCAGGGGCCTCAAACCATTGCAAGGGGCCCCATGAGACTACCAGGGGCCCCAGAAACTCTAAGAGGACCGGGGACCCCATGGAATTACCAGGGGCCCACATGGTCCCTACCAGGGCCAGGGATCCCAGGGGCCCAGGGATCCCATGGGACTTCTTAGGGGTACCAGGGGCTTAACAAGGCGCAGGGGCTCCATGGGACTATCAGGGGGCCTCCAGGACCCTACCAGGGCCATCATGGGACTACCAGGCGGCCCTCAAGAGCCCTATCACGGCCAGCGGCTCCATAGGACTATCAAGATGTCACCATGGACCTACTAGGGCCCGGAACCCATAGAATTACCAGAGGCACCTCCGGTCCCTACCGGGGCCAAAGGCTTCATGGGACTACCAGAGGGCCCATAGTACTACCAAGAAGCCCCCATGGGCCCTCCCAGGGCCATGGGCCCGATGGGACTACCAGAGGACCCCCAGGGGTGTATGGGAGGTGTGAGAGGGGGTGTGTGTGTGATAGGGGGTGTGTGTGTGAGAGGGGTGTGTGTGTGAAGGGGGTGTGGGGGGTGTGTGTGAGAGGGGTGTGTGTGAGAAGGGGGTGTGTGTGAAGGGTGTGTGTGTGTGTGTGTGTGAGCTGTGTGTGTGTGAGGATGTGTGAGGTGTGTGTGGGTGGTGGGGAGGGTGTGTGTGTGTGTGTGTGTGTGTGTGTGTGTGTGTGTGTGTGTGTGTGTGTGTGTGAGCTGGGTGTGTGGGTGTGTGAGGATGTGAGGATGTGTGAGGGTGTGTGTGGGGTGTGGGGGTGTGTGTGTGTGTGTGTGTGTGTGTGTGTGTGTGTGTGTGAGATGGGTTGAGTGTGTGTGTGTGTGTGTGTGTGTGTGTGTGTGTGTGTGTGTGTGTGTGTGTAGAAATGTGATTATGTGTTTGTGATGTTTTGTTCATGTAGTTCCTCCTGTGTACAGGTATTGGTGTACGATTTCATGAAGCAGATGGGAGAGAACCTCCACCAGGACACCTCGGTACCTCTACGACCTCTCAGCCTCCAGGACCTGCAGGTTATCCCCCTCATACCTCATTACCTGGCACTTCAATACCTGTTTCTTGACTATATGATATCTCAACATCGGTTTATTAACTACTTGGCACTTCGCTAATAAAGACAACTACCACATACCTAGAAACATTAGGCCCCTCACTATCTTGTTCCCGGGTTTCTCACATCCTATACTGCCAGGTACCTCATCCAATAATTAACGTACTAGCTATACTAACCCAGTACTAGGTGTCTTTCTCCCAGATACCGGTACTCACTTACCTCATCAAGTACAGGATAACATATGTGCCAAGTACCTGTGGTTACGTAAAGGCGAGGAAAAATTTGTTTGAATTTTTGTATGTAATAATGCCTAACTAGTAAATTCACATATGATTTCATCTCTCTCTCTTTCAGGGAACTTTCATCATCTACGGTCTGTTTACATTAGCGTCAATCCTCGTGGGTGTCTTAGAGATGCTGTTTCATCCTTGATTACTGCGACCACCGGTGCCTTTTACTACGGCGTGATGACTAGACTACTGTACCACCACCTCCTCTATAATCAATATATTTACAGTACCAAAATATAAAACCATGTAGTGGTGCATAATAAATTGTGTTGCAAAGTAAAACCTCCTTAAGAAATTTCCTTCTTCTTCTAGTACTGTGAATGTCAGCATCGATAACGTGTGAATCAATGAAAACCACACACACACACACACACACACACACACACACACACACACACACACACACACACACACACACACACACACACACACACACACACACACACACACACACACACACACACACACACACACACACACACACATTCTCTCTTTTCATGTGACCTAAACGAACCTATCCTAACCTGACCCGACCTAACCCAACCCAAATACACTAAAATGAATCAAATTGCATCTATTCGGTGTTAATTGTTTTGGTAAGATGTCAGACACTTCACGAGGTGTTAGGTCAGGTGTCATGAATCAAATAAAAATGTGGTATGGGACTTACAGTATTGTACAGGCTCAGCGTGTATCATAATTAAAAAAATATACAGGTTTTATCATAAGTAAACTCCATTGCTTAAGTTGATTTATTATAGATCTTTAGTTCTTCGTTGGTGAGTTAGTATCGTTCAACTATCCTTCCCGGACGTCAAGTCAATAGTTTGGGTAATTATTTGTCGTAATTATTCAGCACTACTGGATAACATGGTACTCAGAGTCCTTTCCTTCCACTTCCTTCATGTTATCACTGCTAGACTGTTACTTTTCATCATCACTGACTCTTTCCTCTGTCGGCTCTGGGTTATAAAGGTGACAGAGTAATGCTTTTGTGACTTATGGATGCCACACGACAGAGAGAGAGAGAGAGAGAGAGAGAGAGAGAGAGAGAGAGAGAGAGAGAGAGTTATTCCGAATATCTCTTGCCACAGTATACGAGTGCCGTCCAAGTACATCTCTAAATTATTCAGGTGAGAGAGATCAAAGGCTTGGTGCACCTCCTCGATGTTGTCCCCAAAGCGGAATCCCGGAGAGTCTTCCTCCTTTACCTCTCCAGCTTCCTCCGGCCCTCCATGTCATTCAAGGTCTGTAATGAAATACACAGGAAGCTTTAGTGTCACAGGTGCTTTGAATGTCACTCATGGGCCCCTGAGTGAGACACATACAGGGTCATACAATGATATGAATCTGCAACCAACCCGGAAGGCGGCGTGGTAAGCTCGGTCGCTCACCACCCTGTTCTTCCCACGGTGTTTGCCACCGTCACCGCTTAAACTTGCATAGTTTCGTTGATGCAAGTGAAAGCCCCGCTGATCAACCCCACCGGTACAACTGCTACCAAATATTTAATATTTCCAGGCGTCTGAAATGTTACCATCCATCACACACCCGGCGACGCCTCAACACACCTGAGTCATCACCTTCAGGATTGTTCTCTGATGTTTTAGGTTCTCGGGAGGGTGATGAAGTGTTCTTATCCTGACGCTGGTTGAAATTTTGTAACTTTTATATCAAGACAAATTTGTACTCCTATGATTGATAATACTTAACCTCAGGGAATCACCTGCCAACCTCTCAGTAGGTCAACTAGTTTCTCCTGTACATTAACCTCTAATAGTATGTACTATACCAATTAGAAAACTTCAAGTATATTACCACCCCCATCTTGAGAAGTACGGGGGGCTTTAGTGAAGGAGGAAGGGGCATAAGTGAAGGAGGAAGGGGTGTAAATGAGGGAAGAGGGTGCTCAAGTGATAGAAGGAGAACGACCTAGGTGAGGGAGGGTGGAAAGGGGATGGTAAGAGGTAGAACAAGGGGGGATAAATTTAGCTAAGGGGAGAGAGGGCTGTGGGTGGGGGAGAGGCTGTAAGGGCGGGGGAAAGGGCTGGGGTGGGGGAGGCTGTGGGTGGGGAGAGAGCTATGGGTGGGGTAAAGGGCTGTGGTGGGGAAAGAGAGCTGGTGGGTGGGGTAAAGGGCTGTGGGTGGGGGAGGGCTGTGGGTGGGGAAAGGGCTGTGGGTGGTAAAGGGCTGTGGGTGGGAGAGGGGCTGTGGGTGGGGGGAAAGGGCTTTGGGTGGGGGAGGAGGGCTGTGGTGGGGGAAAGGGCTGTGGGTGGGGTAAAGGGCTGTGGGTGGATAGAGAGGGCTGTGGGTGGGGGAAAGGGCTGTGGGTGGAGAGAGAGAGCTGTGGGTGGGGTAAAGGGCTGTGGGTGGGGGAAAGGGCTGTGGGTGAGGGAGAGGGCTGTGGGTGGGGGAGAGGACTGTGGGTGGGGGAGAGGACTGTGGGTGGGGGAGAGGTCTGTGGGTGGGGGAGAGGACTGTGGGGGGAAAGTTTTGAGATAATTGATAAGTGACCTTGAAAAACCACAGGAGGCAAGTAATTAGCGTAAGAAAAGTACTGTAATTAAAATTATTGACATGTCATTTGGTCAAGTAATTTATACAGTTATCCAATTGTTGACAACAGATCCTTAATCATCCTGTTCGGCAGTACATATAAATTAGGTTGGGTTAGGTTAGGTTAGGATAGGTTAGGTAAGATTCAGGGTGTTTACTCAACAGGTGAAATAAACTGGGGGTTTTCATCTTCATGTAACTCTAAGATACTAAATCTTGACTATCATCACCATAGTCGAGGACCCACAGCCAAGTAGCCAGATAATAGATGACACAACCCTGAGCAACGCTCTTGTGCATTATGCAAAAGACCCGACAGCCGCACCCTTGTCCACTACCTCCTAAGATGTCCCCACACACAACGCTTCCGTGACGCCTGCTGGACCACCACTCCACGACCCCCTGACGGAGGCACGATGATCCTCCCCATACTGGCCAGATATTATGTAAATAATATTGATGATGTGCTAAAGGAATATCCTTCCTTCCTTAGGCCTTAGTAAGCACCTTTAAAATGTTTATATATAATTGTGTCACTTGCCAGATGCTTCTGGTGTTATTGTACAGGGGTCTCTAGTGACAACACTAGGATCCCGCTTCCTCTATCGAGATAAAATATTGAAATTGAAATTGAATTGATGACACAACTGACGCCTCCCCTTCCAAGGCTGGTCGACTGGTCATGAATAATTGATGGTGGTAGAGGGGTGTGGTGGCGGAGGGGTAGACGGGGGAGGGGGTGAAGGCGTGTTAGGGGAAGAGAGAAATGGGATGGGGGGGGGGGTAAGGGAGAGCCGAAGGAGGGTTGTGGGTTGAGAGTCATCAACACCCACCTCTTCACACACACTGCCCCATTATTGACACCCTCCTTGACTACACTCAGTACGTAGTCTCTCTAGTCTATTGTATAAATTCCATCCTTTGTGTTATTTGCTGGAATATTGTGAGTACCGCGAGTTCTGTGGCCACCCCCGTGTCTCTCTCTCAAGTCAATGTGGAAATTATACCTTATTCAACTGTAAAACATAAGATAAAACATTGCATTTAGTAAGTGTTTACTTGAGGACGGGTGTTTCAAGTGTGTGTCTTAATAATGATGTGAAGAGATTTATTTTCGTTTTTTTTGAGGTAGTGTAAGAGAGAGGGGGGGATAAGAATAACAAATAAATAAATAATAATAATAAGAAGAAAAAAAGATTGACTGTGTGTGTGTGTGTGTGTGTGTGTGTGTGTGTGTGTGTGGGCGTGCGTGCGTGTGCGTGTGTGCGTGTGCTCAGGCTTGCAAATTTTCGGCGTTTTCGGCCAAAAATTAGATTCCGAATCTATGGTCCACGGTTAAATTGTGGGGTAATTAGTGATCGAAATGACGCATGGAAAATTTTAATGACATCTTTCATTGCTAATTACTCACCAACTGTGGATTTCCGAGCTGACACCACTAGTTACCAACAGTATATAGCCAATGTGATCAGGTCACACCAACAGTTATCAGTACAGTGATTTGTATATTAGAATATTTGATCCTTTGTGTATTACCACTTTTTTTCAAGACAAAATCATGCAAGTAACAATTTGAGCAGTAAGCAACTGGTTATTTTTGACAGCACGACAAATGGTTAATTTTTTTGTTTATTTTCTCTGATTAAAAAAAACAAAACAACGCGTAATTAAGTTAAGAGATTCCCTGTTTGTAAAGATAGGATTAAATGAATACTCAGATTAAATACACATATAAGTAATTATTAGAAAATTACTAACATATACACTATATCAGGGGTGTCAAACTCATGGCCCGCGGACCAAATGTGACCCTTGGGATGGTCAGGTGTGGCCGGCGGGATGACGGTAAAATTTATCATCCCGTGAAATTATGAAAAAAATAGACATATCATGTTTATTTAGTACAATGAATTTTACATACTTAAGATCAGACAAACCCAAATGAGGTATTCCTGGTAAGCCAGGTAAGGCAATGTGTGAAGCTGTAAACTTCAATCCTGCAAATATGTGATATAGCACTTGTGTTGGCCCTGAAGAGGGTAACTAAAATAAGAATTGGCCCTCAAAAGGTTTTGAGTTTGACACCACTGCACTATATCATAGTGATAATTTCTTGCTACTCCCAATAATTATTTAATACACATAAAATAAATCTAGCGATAACTTTTCACTAGGAAATCACTTGTTCAGATAAATTATAAAAAGTTTCAATGATAATTATCAGTTTTATTTTAGCTAATGGTGGATAGAAGTGATTTAAGAAAATTAATGAGATTATAGATGATGGACTAGTCGTGTATGGTGTTCTTTCCGCCGTCCAGTCGATTATTTTCATATGAATCAGTAAAGCGAACCAATGAATTAAGGAATCGAAGCACCTCGGGTTCGCCACTCGCCAGTGATCATTAGACATACGGCAGTGGTGGAGGCAACATGTGTGTGTGTTTTCATACAGTATTTGATCGCTATTTCCATGTTTTACGTTTGCTGTTTGTGGATTACCTCGTGTTTGTGGCGTCGTGAAGACTTCCAGGGCTCTACGTTGTGGTTATTAGCAGTTGAGTGAAGGTAAGGTGATAACAAGTTGTGTTGTTGTACTGTGGGGTCCAGGGAGGAGGAGGCGGTAGTGTAGCTCTCCGCCTTGTGTACAGGAGTTGTGGATGCCGTGGCTCTGACAGAAAATACTGCTATTAAGATGGCTATTATCCTAAGCTAGTATGTGGTATAGAC